GACGAGACCGCACCACACCCAACCGCAGACGCGGCAGCCGAACAACCCACGGCCAACAGCGACCCGCCACCTACCACTCCACAGCAACCGCAAACCACTGCGAGCGCCACCTTGCCGGGCGGGCAGCCGCGGCGCAACCTTTGGCAAGCCTACTATCCAGCCCCCTATGTGGCTGCCCACGACGTCTGGTCTGGAGGCGGATGGTACCCCGACGACGACAGCAGCCCACCGGCCTCCACCAACCCCCTACCTGAACCAGGACAGTCGTCAGCCGGCCCTGCAACACACCAAGTGCCAGCACAACCACAACCAACCACAGACCAGACACTGGAGCCTGGCACCACACCCACCCAACACCCTGAGACGGACGCCAACGGGATGCCACTACATGGCCCCAGGCCACCACCAGGGGTACCCCCGCTGCCAAACATGTGGCAAGCCGAATACCTCCACTGGCTCACAGCAGGAGAACTTCCTGATACATACATAGAGAGGGAACTGCTGCCCCTTCTCGACCCCCAACCACCAACCCGGACATCCACAGCCACGGAGCCGCAGACAGCAACCGCAACCCCCGGTGCATCCGAAAGCACGGGGCGGCACAACAGCCCAGACACAGTGACAACACCGCAAGCTGAAGCACAACACCAACCCACCATCGCCACAGACACAGGAGGGGCGACGAACCACAGCCCGGAAGCACCCACGACAGCCGCCGGACCCAACACCGCACCACAGGCCGAAGAAAGGCCTCCACCGCCACCCACAACGATGCAGACAACCGACGAGATGCCAGCCACAGAACCCAACCAAGTCCCAACAGTGGAACAACCTCCACCGCAACAACCACCGACACCGCCCGTAAATACACGAACGGCAGACACAGTCGACAGACGCCGACCACCCACGCCAGACCTTGGCCCTCCACCCCAGCCTGACCGCCCACCCAGAACAAGAGAGGGGACAGGAGACCAGAGGCGCACCAACAGAGCCACCAAGCGAGCCCTTAAGATCCAACTACAAAGACTGGGCCTGTGGCCACGGGGCGGCACTGGCCAAGGAGCCCGATACCAACCACACCAAGCACATCCTCCACCACGTCCGCAGACCGCTGACCCGAATTGGGCGGACCTGCTCAATCGACACCTGCAACCCTCCGATACAACACCCCTAAAGCAGCTGGATGGCAAGGCTTTGTCCGAGTGTGAGTGTCAAAAAAAGCAGCTGGAGCGGCACAACCAGCCGACGGAAGACTCGGAGCCACAGCAGCCACCGCCCCAACTCACACGACCCAGCAGCCCAAGGCGACGCCAGTGGCAAAACCGCCACCGGTTAAGCAGCCCCCGGCGCAACCCAAGCCACCACCACCACCCCCACCAACCACGGACGCCGAAGTGGACCCTGCACCCTGGGACCAGCCCGCTGCTAGCTCCACAGACCCGGCGCCGTATGAACCAGCGAGCAGCTCCACGGACCCAGCGCCGCAACGGCTCACACGCAACCCCCCACTGTCACCCTCAGCCATGGCCGCGGCCCAGGACCACCTACAGCACACAGCCACAAGCCGCAACCAGCCATCCATCAACCGACCCACCATCCCCACTAACAAATGGGCTCGGGGGCGTATCCTGGCACAGGAAGCAGGCACCCCCACTTCCCCACCGTGGTGGCTCGTCCAGATCGAAAGCCACCCACTGCGAAAAGAAGAGCATGAGCTGGCAGCACTCCGAGCGGACCCCAACCCCCTCCGCACCATACCACCAGGCATCCGCTCCGAACTCGCGCCCCCCATCTCCACAGGGACGGTCCTGTCCCTCACCAGACCCAACCTGCAAACCTACATAGCAGAAGTGGTGGCAGCACCCCCCCCAGGCAGCTACGAGTTCAACGCAGCCATCCTTTGTGAAGGAGACATCCTTACCTTCATGTGGCAGGATGGGGAATGGATCCTAGATGTCCACCTCAACGAGGCGGCGGGGTGCAGCGATTCTGGGACGGACACTACCCAACCCACTGCAGCCTCCGATGAAGCACGGTCGGAGCACACCGCAGACCCCGAAACCTGTCAAGCACCACGCGGGGCGACCGACCAACCACAAGCTGACGGCGACACCCCAAAGCAGCTGCTACACCCAAGGCGGGGCGACAGCCACACCACCTGTCCACCAAAGCCCCGCCAGCGCCACAAACACCGCCGCAACAGACACTGGACCTGCACCACCACAAAGCAGCCACAGCCACAGCCAGAACCACCAACCACAACAGGAAACCCCAACAGCCACGGCAAGCTCCTCGACAGCCAGCCACACAACGAATAGCAGACCCACACAGGAGCCACCACAGACATACCAACCACAGTACCACCAACCACAGCAGGAAACCTCAGCCACGGCAAGCTCCTCAGGCGATGCAGCGCCAAATGCCACACAGAACCACCAACCACAGCAGGAAACCACCTCAGCCACGGCAAGCTCCTCCTCACATACAGGCACAGGTGGTACAGGCACACCACATGGACCACTCTCCGATGGGCGTACCCTTAGGCGAAGCCAGCAGGTAGACAACAGACCACCACCAAGCACAACCACGCCACCAAGCAGACCCAGTCTACTGCAACAAATACAGGATGGCAGACCCTTGGGCAACAGACTTCAGCCCCCCCCACCGGAGCATGACCACCCTGCTCTCATGCAGCGGCCGGGGCGACCCTCCTCGTCCAACCAAGCCCCGAACCACTTGGAGGATGCCATCGACAAGCTACGCAGCCTACTCTTCGAGACGGGCATGCGAGAAATGCACGAAGTCACCTACCATGTAGTTATACTGCTTAACCTCATTGTGCCGGAGCGGAACAGCCACACACCGAGCAACCGCTCCTGCGAGTCACCACAGAAGAGAACCCGCAGCACACACTCGCTCTTCCGAGAAGCAGCAGTCCACCTGCACAGCCTAGCAGCCACAGGACACAGCCCCCACCTTGCAACTCCTCCGATATTACAACAACTGGCACAAGCCCTGCAACTAGTCACCAGGGGGATCGACACCTCACCCGGGGCGACACAGATGGGGGTAAGCAGTGCACAACTAGCGGCAGCAAGGGGCGTACACCACCTTATCAATAGAGTGTATGACAGTGTAGAAGCCATGGGCGCCGCTGGACTGCAACAACACCGGGGCGATCTGTGCACTGCGGCAAGGTTGGCAGCAGTGGCGGGGCGTGACGAGATCCTGCCAAGACCTTTTTCGGCACACCCGTCAGACAGCATCGCCTTGGCGGGGAATGCACTGGAAATGGAAAGGCCGTACATGGGACATGCTGCCACACTAGCAGAAGCTGTGGCCAACTTGGGGGCGGCACGCGGCTTCCTCACGGACGCGCCCTACCTGCTGTGCGGGGAAGCGCTCCACTCGCTGCACCTCTGGCAGCAAGGTGGTGAAGCAGTGATGGTGGAAAGCCAAGAAGGGGCGAACACGGAGGCGAGCGAAGAAGTCGGGGCGTCAACGCTGTGGCCCACAACCGGGGCGGCACAGACTCAGTTAGACCCCGGCGACGACAAGCCCGCCTCCATGGCCACCCTTGAGGAGGACGTCGGGGCACAGCTGGACCCAGGAGATGAAGAAAGAGCCGCGCTGGTGGACCTCGAGGCACAGCTGGAGTTCGAACGACAACGTGGAGCTCAAGAAGCGCAACATAATGCCTCAGAGGAAGAAAACGGGGCGGTGATCCCGACAGACGCGGACTCGGCGGAAGCGCAGAGGGACGACGACGAGGGCGGGGCGGCGGAGGACGACTACATCGACCCCGTGACCAGACGGCGAGTGACCTCGAGCCCTACTGATAGACCCACACCACAGTCGTCCCCTGACCGCAGTGACTGAAAGGGTGACCGTCCAGGGGCGAGCGCCCCTTAAAGCTCCGAGTCCTGTGATCTGCATCGCATCGTACTCTCTTACACTTGTGTGCTTGTTTACTCCAGCGGAGCATCTAGTGAGCCCAGTTAGGACCGGCCCCATGTCGTGTGATCTGCAACGTACTTTACAACCTTTGTTTCTCCGTCGGGGCGACACCTAGGCTCGACACGTTAGGTCCCGAGGCAATACTGTAACTGAAGCACCAGAGAGAAGCACGAGCCACTACAACCGGAGCGTCGAGACCGTAGTCGAGGAGCCTAGTCTGAGGAGGTACCCTACAGCCCAGTCCTGTGAACTGCACCATCCTGCTAACTGTGTGTTACCAGCAAGCGAGGCGCCGTAGGTACCATCCGAGGCCATAGGATTACGCAGAGTGGAGCCGAAGAGGGTTATAGGGTATTACACGGCAAGCGGTGTATATGGTAGCTCGCTGAACCTGTTGTGATCATGCCAGGCCCACTCGTAGACAGCCTCCTCAACATGCCAGCCCACCATGGGCGAGTGGAAAACCCACACCGTACAGATGGCAATGGGCGACATACTGGACGTCGTATAGTACGGTTATTTCGGGGCACTTCGTACGGACTGTTCGGGGCATAATACACGACGTCGCCGAGGAGTGCTTGCTGTTCCAGCATGTAACACACATGCACACAACCAACAAACGGGCGGCTCCCGCGGGGGCTCGCCCTCAGGCCCGGAGAAAGAAAGAGAGAGGCCCTATTATGCTGTGGCTTCTTGGATTACAGTTGCTGAGCGGAGAGAGTTCCTTTTTCCACTTGCAAGAGCCGGGGGTAGCAAACTGGCAATGCTCACCTCCGCAACAGTCGGGGGCGCACAAGCGCGCGGGCAAGGGGGTAAACCTCTTGCCCATAGCCCTGGCGAAAGGAAAGGAAAGAGAGAGAGAGAGAGAAAACTGGGCTGTGGGGGACCACACCTAGCCGAGTACCAAACACACGTCTCACACCAAACTCGGACACTGGCGTAGCGCTCGCGCGCAGGGGGTGCAGGGACCTGTGCCTTGCCTCCCACACGCCCTGCAAGCAAGCAGGCAAGAGAAAGCTGGTGTGAGAGATTGCGTAACCCAGGACTCTGGATGAACTCTGCGACGACTGCTTTGATGCGTTCCGCGATGCCATGGACACAGGCCCTGCGGGGTTCATACTGTACTGCGATGGGGGCTGGCGACTGTATTGCGAAGCGACCGAGCACTATTGTGTCAGGGTTTCGGCAAGCTGACCAGTTCGATTAGCCTTTGGAGTGCACTTGCTTTCACGAGGTGCTTTTGCACTGCTGGGACACTCAATAGGCTGGGCTTCGGCAGCGTTTCTTGCACACTGGAAGCGAGTGAAGTGTGCGATGTGTACTACCAGTGCTTGAGGGCGCTGGAATGCCACGTTTCTGGCTCAGTCCACAGGAAGGTCCTTATGTCGCTCGGAAGGTGCCTTGATTGCCATCAAAATTGCGAAGCGAGCTCGAGCTGAACTAGGCAGGGGAAGTACGGTCCATCATGGCAAAGATGTAGCGAATCCCAGACGTCGCAGAGTTCTTCACCGGACTCGAGGTGTCGAGCCGCTTGCAGTCATCATGCTCGAGAGGCACAGAGAGCCAAACCGAGTCGAGCCTTGAATCTTTGAGCCCTTGCGGTTTAGGGTTTAGGGTTTAATCAGCCAATATCGAGGCAGCGCACTGGAGGTTTCCATGTTGAGCTTCTGCTCAGGGGCGCTGCACAACATCCGCTGTTCACAGACACCTGGACGATGTGTTGGCTTTGGTTGGTTCCCGCTTTTCCTTGGTCCTGCTACTGCCTGGTACTGTACCTCTTGCAGCAGCGCGGTCACGGTTCCAGTGTAGCAAGGCTCGACGCAGTTATCCGCGGAGACGTTGGTATTGCTGATGCTAAGGAACTTGGGGCGGAGAGACTTCGCAGCGATCCGGTGTCCTTCTTTGAGTACTGGAAACTTGACACATCCGATACCCGAGAATGCCGCATAAAACCAAATATTCCACGATTGGGGTGGGGTGCCGGTCTAGATTGGTAAATTTGATGAGTGGATCTCTGCAGAAGGGCATGCAAGACAAACTCCGCCTGATCTAAAGCAACTTCAGTTACAGGTCTGTCTTGATGGTGGTGAGACCAAGTGGACCAAAGTGGCACCGAATTAAAAAATTGCTCAGAATGTGAACAAGAACTTTCAGAAAGTCCAGTACTTCAAACTATATCACCCTGTCAGGGTCGTAGAAGTGCCAGATGTAAGCTTTGCCAGCGGGCCGGCAGCAATGGGTAACCGCTGTGCGCCAGAATGCGTGGAAACTGACGCATGCCCTCTCTGCAAGCAAGACAAGGAGGACTCGCTTTCTGTACTGCACACGCACGACAAGGCAGATGTGGTCAGGCTGGATCTGAAGCGCTCACCGCTTGTGCAGCAGATGTCTGGCATTTGGTACGACAAGCAGACTGGTCAGCACATGGGCGAAATTTTCGATGACCACCTGTATTGGAACTTCTCTTTTGGTCTTCCTCCTGCATTGATAGAGACCCAGCTGGTCAACACGGTGCAACTTGACGTGCAGGGAAAAGTTCTTCATGCCCAAGTTTCTCTCGAGGCACAAGCAACCATCACATGGAGGGACGGCAGCGTTTGGCTGCGGAAGTGAGACGTCGCTGAACCTTGAATGCGCATTCAAGAGTGCATGCCACTGTTCGTGGCAGATCGTCGGATCGTACATCCGGATAGTTTCTCCCGCTGTTTCGAACCGCCCGAAAATGCCAGAACTAAGGCGACCCCGCACGGCTGCGCTAAGCTTAAGCTCGCAGATGCTGTGGGATGCCGCTAAGGCACAGCCATAGGTTAGGGTCCGGGTTCCAGATTATCGGGTGTAAGGTCGAGGCTTGTTTTGCTTGTACGGACGAGGTCTAGAGTTAAGGTTTCGGATCGAGGGCTTAGAGCTTCGCTTAGATAGTGTAGGGCCTTGAAGGTCTTGAAGCTGGACAGCCTCACAAGCAGGCGCCGAGCCGGCGAAAAGAAGCTCAAACCTTGACTACTGATCGGGATGCTTCACCGAAGTGGTGCCATAAGGTAAGACTTCAAGATCTGTCGTGCATCCAGGAACCCGACGGTGTTCAAAATGTACAAGAGCGCTGGAGACATTGGAAAACGCACCCTGGACATGTGGCAAAAGGAGCCCCGCTGATGTTTGCTAACGAAACGGTCCTGTTGCTGACGTGGTGTAGGACCAGCTCATGGACCAGGATGCGATCGAGGCAGGGAGGGGACACAGTCAAAGTCAAAGCTCAACGCAGGCTCCGAGGTGCGAACCAGTCCACAGTTTGCTGGATGCCTGCAGCGTGCACACTTCTGGATCAGAAGGTGGGGTATCACACCTTCAAGTGTCCGTTGACAGCTGCTTGGATGCAAGCTCTGCTGCCGCTAGCAGCTGGATTCACAGAGGTAGAGCTGAGGATGCTTGGGATCCATACCGTGGGTTCCATGCCTTCGTGCCAAGGCTTGTCGATGCCTCGCAGGTTGACTGAGTAAGTTGCGGTGTTAGAACGGTTAGCTGAAACCCCAACCCCAAAATCCCAAAGAATGTGCAACTGGCTGCTGAATCAACGGCAAGCCCAATGTCCCTGAAGCATGGACGGAATTCACTATGTATACCATAGTACCTACAGCCCTGCTTCGTGAACTCAGCCATGCAGGAGGCAAAAAAAGAATCCCAAAAATCACAGTGGAAACCAGAATGCTGATCCAAAGCATCTTCCAAAAACAGTTGGCGTCTTTCTGTAAGACTCAAACAACTACTCTGCTCTCAAGGCGATTGCAGCAGATGGATCCTGGGATTCGTGGGTCACTCTGGCCGACCTCGACGAGTCGAGACTTGTTGTCAAGCTGTTTTTTGTTCACAGGTACTGGGCTGGGAAAGATGCCGCTGTTTGACCCTGCCCAGCTAGCCGAGGCAGGCGGCGCTTACGCAGCACAATCTTGAAGCAGGCACCCTGTGCCCTAAGAGTTGCTCGGGTGCGCGGCGTGGCTCACCAAGTCCAGGTCAGTTCAGTTGAACAGCTTGCCTTGTAGTTTTCATTCCCGTGTGGTGAGAGGCTGCTTCGAAATTCCGCCGAAGATACTGTCACTGTAGTTGGCAGGTGCATACCGGATCGCAAAAGACGGCAAGGCTTTTGCTGGGCACTTCCCAGCCTGGACATACGATGGATGGAAGGCTGTGGCACTGTCACACTGCGAAGTTGTTTTGGCATGGTGCCATGTGTTTGTTTGGTGTCGTTTCTGTCCCCACACACACACGTGTGACAGGACTGGACAGAGCATCCGAAGGGGTGCAACATCGTAAAGTGCAAAGACTGCGCTGCTCAGCCTTGCAGATATCCAGACCTTCGGTGTGTACCAAGCTCATTGCCACCACTCATGCACAAGTTCCAGCTCCAGCTACGTACGGGGCATGCGCGCGGTAGCTGTCTCGTCACGCTTGCCAATTTTGCGTGCCTGCGGCCATGCAAAGGATCACATGACTGTCAAGCGCAATTCCATGTTCAAAGACGAGCATCTCGACAGAATGGATGTTCAGGGTGACTCCATGTCGAGCCAGCAGGACCACAAGAAATCACCTGTCACTTGTTCATGCAACCTCACGGCCGAGGTTATGGAAAATCTTGAGAGATGTAGTGGCATCTTTCTGACTGGTCAGATGACTCGGATCGACATGCAGCGAGTGTCATGAATTGTTTGAGCACCATAGACCTTTGGGTTGAGTGGGGAAACTGCCTGAGCCTTTGATCAGAAACTCGAACGGAGCACAGCGAAGGCTCCATTTTCCAGTTCAGCTCGTTTCACTCCCATAGACTATAGATTATGGATTAGGCTCATCCCAGCGGAAAATGCACAGTGCAAGCCAGGAGCCAAGGAAGCTTGGGACATGCTGACTGACCTGACCCAGACATAAGAAACAACAGTTGCATGTGGGTAACGGCATGTGGTGTGCTGGCCGGCTTAGCAGAACCAGGACATGTGCTGCAATGACTGTCACGGACGGCCACGTGGGGCAAAGTCACATGGTTTGATTCGGGGCGGCACTCGGTAAAGCCCTCGCTGCATCACTCCTCGTCACCAGCCACTAACGGCTAGCAGAACTTGCCCGGTCGGGCACACTTCAAGACGCAGCCCTCTCGTTGCGATGCCGGCCGCCGTTTGAAAGCCGCCCGGCAGCTCGGGGCTCGGGGGAACCCCACCCCAGTAGCAGCCTTGCTGTCACGAGCCGAGACCCACTTGCAGCCGCCGGCTCAAGCGAGTTGAAACACCGATGCGGCAGGGATGGGACCCAAAGCAAAAGCGAAAGCTGTTGGAAAGGCGGCGACCACAGTCTCGGGCAAGGCCTCCGCCGTGCCCAAGCCGCCCCCAAAGCCTTCAGAGCCGACAGTCCCGGCCGTCCCGGCCATCCCGGGCCCCAGCGAGGCTGTGACTCTCACTGCCAAGCAGGCCGAAGCGCTCTTGGCCAGCCTCTGCGCAGAGGATCTCCAGATCCTGGCTGAGACTTTGGATGATGAAGAGCAGCTCGCAGCTCGCCAGGTGCTCGAATATGTTTGCGACAAAGATGTGAGCTGGGCCAATGCGCAGCGGTCGCTCTCCACCGGCAACCAGCTTGTCAACGAGATCTTGGAGATGCAGGCAGGCGAATTCATCACGAAGCAAAGCTTGCAGAGGTTTGAAGAGCTTGGCCACCCGGACGTTTCCACGCTGTGGGGCAAAAGCCGAACCGCCTACATCTTGGCCATTTTCGTGCAGGCGTGTCTTCGGGATGCCCGTGATCGTCTGGGACTGACGGCTGCAGCACCTCCTCCACCCCCGATGGCGGATGAGCCTCCAGCATGGCCCCTGGTCATCGGCTTCAAGGTGCGGAGCCTAGCAATATTCGTTTGCACTCTCACGGCCTTCGGCACTTTCAGCCTGGCTGCTCTCCATGACGTGAGCTTCATCAGTTCTATTGCAGAGTCGCGGTGCATTTCCTTCCAAAGTGCAAGTGGATCTGGTCCTTCGCCTGTCCTCTTGTAGTCGGGGCAGAAGCGGATTCCTCCTCCTCGGCTTCAGATTAAAGCGACGAAGTGAGTCCTAGTAGGTGAAATTGAGGTGGCAGCGAGGGTAGGTACTGGCTGTTATACCGCCATCACCACCTCCTTGTGGCTTGAAACGGGAGGGGGGGACAGAGGCTCCGAAATATCGAGGTCGGGGTTAATACCTTGGTGGTCGGGGTCGGGCTTGAAGTTTCAGGGTTATCCTGGGATGTCGATGCATTTTCCATTTCAAGCTGGTCGCCGTTCGTTTCCGCAGGACACCGGCTTACTGAGAAAGGAAGATCGCTTCCAAGGGCCCTCAATGGCCCTCAGACTGGCTTTGCAGCACCAATCCCCATTAGGTGGTAGTACTACAAATCAAAGGCAGTGCACGGTGAGCTACTTCTGGAACCATGGCTGCGCAACGGCGGGGGTAGGTAGGCATGGCTCCGCATAACCGTGCATGCAGTGACAAATCTCGGAACCACTTCCTTTTTCGGCCCGTTTAGTTTGGCCCGCAGCTGCTCAGCTCCCCCGGTGCACCAACAGGCATCAGCTTGTTGAATCCTGTTTCCACTCCCCCGCCCCCTGTACGTAGCAGCCTTACAAAGGAGGCCACCGGATCCTCACATGATACTGCGAGCGTCGTCACAGGGACGCGGTTTGGGCTCGGGCAGGGCACTGGCTATTGATGAACAATGATAGCGGCTGATAGAGCGTTCAATCAAGGGCAGAGGCCTCTGGGTAGACGGAACAAGACAGTCAATGCACGTGCAGTCCCGTGCCGAGAACCGAGGAGTTGCCTTCGCGTATTGCAGAAGCTGTCCGATGGAGCCAAACGGTGCTTTTGGTATGCAATGGCCACGCGAAGGAAGCTGACACATTCCTGACATACTCTGCATACGTGCAAATTGATGCTAAATGGGTCATGGGAGAAACTATGATCAGAAAGACTATGGGCATCGAAGAAATGCAAGAAAGCCTGCGACAACGGGTTGTCAGCGCTCTGAAGTCTGGACTGCCACTGCATATCGCCATGGCAAACACGGCCGTGGCTTTCAAAGACAAGTTTTGTGGAGAGCAGACATTTCCCCATTCCGTATTCAATTTTTCGATGTTCAGAGGTGAGACGGGAACGGAGGCAGGCGAGTATAAGAAGATCATCCGAGATTCGGATCTGGAGGATTGGCCTGGCAGCTTTCCTGGCCGAATGAAGGAGGGTTTCTTTGTGGTAGTCACAACTGACTTTGACCTCGAGTCCGCTCGAGAATTCCTCCCCGCATCTCTACCCTACTTCGACGACATGGCCATCCTTGAAGTAGACCCTGCGTCTTTCACTTGATCGTTAAATGCAGATCGCGACTCACCCCTACCAGGCGAGTTGTTGGCTTGGGATCTTGCAGAAGGACGCGCTCTAGCTTTGGGCACTTGCCCTGCAATGCGGGCTTCGTCCTTGCTCAGTAGGAGAGCAAAAAGCTCTGGGCACCGTGAAGCAGGCAGGCAGCATTCAGGCTATGCAGCTGTGCCTGCTGCGCTGGTTTCTAACCCCGGCATGTAGATGAGCGAGGAGGATCATCAAGCAAAATTGGCCAGACAGCATCAGCATCAAAGACCATTTCTGGGCCAGGTGCCCTCTAGTTGATGTGCGGACTGTCTCGCGTCGCTCAGGTTATGTGCTTGCCGGACAACTATGGAGACATCGTCTCAGAACATGGTATGGCATTGCCTTGATGCGTGTTGGTGATTCTTGTTTCGATGGTGCGGCTTCAGTGGTAGGATCCCAGTAGCTGGTCAAAGGTTGCGGTTGGCATCCTTGAGAAGGGGGCTTCCCCAGTTCGGGATCGTACCACAAACACAAACACACGCACAGACCCACAGGCACACACACACACACACCCACACACACACACACACACAGACAGAGACACAGACACACACACACACACACACACACACACACACACACACACAGACAGAGACACAGACACAGACACAGACACGCGCGCGCTTACTTGGTTCGACATTTTCGACCCCTGTCACTGTAGCATCCCCACTCCTTTGCGAGTGTTTCCTCTCATAGTTTAAGTTGATTCAAGCTTTGTAAAGTTGGCACATTCGGGGCGGACATGACTGTTCTGAGGGCAGCTTGGGAAGCCTCCAGAGACCCAGGCATGGCCAGCACCCTTTTGCTCGTGCGAGCGATGCCCCGGTGACGTGTTCGGGGCTCAGCTGTTTCGGAGCACCCTTGCCTTCTACGGGGAAGGAGCATCAGAAGCACAACAGGCACCTGATTCTAGCCACATTGCAAATAGAGCTGTCACTCTTGGTGCAAACCCATCATGTGCATGACGCCAAACTCTGAGCGTGTCAGCAGCCAATGTGAATCTCCAGCCTAGGAAATCTCGGAAAAAAAGGGGGAAGGATCCACACTCAGACCAGTGCGTTGCCATCTCGACTGCAGGCCTCATTGTGCGCGCTTCGAGCGCTGGGCACCTGCCTTACCTTGGCCTCGAGGCCTCGAGGGCTTTTGCTGGGGAGTTCCACCACTCAGTCGGAGTTGACCCAGGCCAAAGCTGCCAATGTCGATTCTGTGAAACAGAGCAGGGGTCTCAGACTTTCCGTGTGCTTCATCTCGCCGAGTCTCTCCGATTCCCGCAGAAAGGCTCGTGTGGGCTGGTGACATGTCTTGCTCGTGTTTGCATGGCTCAGGCAGAGTCCCGACAGCATAGGCTCGTCGTATCTCGTAAGGGAAGGAGTGTTCCAGAGAACGGCCATGGGCTGCACGCTCGGAACGCAAGGCAGTCAGCCGCAGGCTTCAAGCAAAGCTGCAGCCTCTGCGCTTGAATCGTTCGAGGCTTTAGCAGATCTTACTGCGCAGTATTGCGTGCGGTATCCTGCCATCCCGGGTGACATCCTTGTTTCGGGAGACCTCCCCGAGTCTGTCGTTGCAGAGCTGGCCAGTCGATGTAGGGGCTAGTTGTACCTCAACGCGGAGACTGATCCAAACTTCTGCAGAGAAGCCATCCAGAAACGTGGCTCTCGGGTGCACGTTCTACCATTCAAGCCGGGGAAAGATGTTACGAGCCTGCACATTGCAGAAGTGGTCGAGAAAGTTCGAACCTTGCCACGGCCTCTCATGATTCAATGCAGCAGTGCAAACAGGGCCCTGGTTGCAATGTTTCTGTGGCTGTCGGCAGAGCGTGGCTACACCGGCGCTTCGGTGGAAACACTTGCCAAGGACTTGCAGCTTGACACTCTGAAGCCAGAGACACTGCTGTGGCTGCAATCCCAGCTGCCTCGCCTCGGTGAACAGCATGGCGCGCTGACTTCGCGAAGTCCAGAGGTCAGACAGCTCTTTGATGCGGAGAGTAGTACTTTGACCTACCTGGTCTCTTGCCCTGACACCAAAGAAGCGGTGCTGATTGACCCAGTTTTGGAGGAGCTGTCGCGAGATCTCAGCCTCATCCAATCACTGGGGCTGCAGCTGAAGTATGTCATGAATACCCATTGCCATGCTGACCACATCACCTCAGGCAGTGCGATGCGGAAAGTTGTGCCTGATATGCGCACAATAATTTAAAAAAACTCGGGCGCGAAGGCAGACGTTCACATCGAAAATGCCGACTCGATCAGGGTCGGTCACTTAATGCTTGAGGTTCGAGCCACTCCGGGGCATACCGATGGCTGTGTTTCCTATATCCTTCGGACTAAGACGGCCACTTTCGCATTCACTGGTGATACCCTTCTTGTACGGGGCTGTGGCAGGACAGACTTTCAGCAGGGGAATGCTCGGCTGTTGCACGAGAACGTGCACGACCGCCTGTTCACCCTGCCCGGCGACACCATTATCTGCCCTGGCCATGACTACAGGGGGCGCAGTGTGTCCACTGTTGAGGAGGAGAGGAGGTTCAATCCTCGGCTGACCAAGTCAGTTCAAGAGTTCGAGAACATAATGAAGGACCTGGGCCTCCCATATCCCGCTAAGATTGACAGCGCCCTTCCCGCGAACATGGCCTGCGGCGTGCAGGATGACTATTGCGAGTCCCAGTCCACAGAAACGGGCTCCGGCCATTGAGCCGCCGTGACCTGTTCTTACCTGCTGCACCTATTGCTGTCGTGTCCTTGCCGGTGATGATCACATCATCTTTACCCCTTGTCATCTATCTTCTGCCTGCCGAGCAGACAGGACTTGGGCTTAGGATCCTGGTGTTTGCCCCTTCTCTGCATCGAGAGATAGGGGTGGCCGATGCATCCTGCAACTTGCCGGGAAAATGCCCACCTCCGCTGGCACATGAGCCCCCTTCAGTTTTGAAGCTAGCAGTTTCATGTACATCGTTTGTGTAGCACGAGCTGTGCTAGCAGCTGCCAGAAGAAGGCACGAGGCTCGAACGAACAGAGACAGTCCGCAAGCAGCGAGGTGGACGGTACCAGGAGTTGCTGGAGGCTGGAATCTGCAGCAGACTAGAACTTAACCGAATGCAATCTGCAAAAGAATAGCAGCAAGCGCTCCACTTGAGTGCATGATGGGAAATCGAGTAATTATCTTCATTAAGCTGCTATCCTTTTGCAGTTGTTCCAGTAACACCGACACGGAAATGCTGGGGGATTCATGCCAATAGAAGAAAGGTAGGAGCAGTAGTAGGAGTAGCAGTAGTACTAGTAGTAGTCATCGTCGTGGTTGTCGCCGGCCGCAGTCGTAGTCGTGGTAGCAGGCAGTAGCAATAGCAGTAGCGGTAGCGGTAGCAGCAGCAGTAGCAGTGGTAGTTAGTTAGGAGTAGCACTAGCAGCGCCGCAGTAGTGGCAGTAGTGGTAGGAGTAGGAGCAGGAGTAGGAGTCATAGTAGTAGTCGTCGTCGTCGTCGTAGTCGTCGTAGTAGTAGTAGTAGTAGTAGTCCCTTCATCTAGTCTACTGCTGCTGCCGCTGCTACTGCGGGCAGGTGTGGGTAGGTGGATTGGTGGGTGGGTTGGTAGCAGGAGTAGTAGTAGTAGTAGTAGCAGTAGTAGCACACGTGGCAGCAGTGGCAATCGCAGTGGCAGCAGTGGTGGCAGTGACAGTAGTGGTAGTAATGGTAGAAGTGGTGGTAGCAGTAGAAGATACCACGCACGTCACCTAGCCATAATATGCATCGACCATGTCGTTGCCATACAAGGGGAACGGATAAGGGCGAGATAAGGGCACCGCTTGGAACGAGGCCATTTCTGCTACAGTAGTACTAAACTGGAGAGGGCTTGAGCGAACGAGATAGGGACACCGGTAAATAGAGCCTTGAGCCTATGAAGTCAATAAAGAAACCTGCCAATTTTCGTTTCCGTGTCTGTCTGTCGGTCTGTCACCGTGCTTTATGTATGTATGTATGTATGTATGTCGCCTCGCCTGCTTTGCTGAGAGCGAGTGCTAAAAATGTGTGTATTTTCCACCGTTTCACTCAATTAGAGGCAAGCCAAAGGGCCGCGCCACCTCGACACTACACCCCAAACAGCAGAAACACAAGAATGTATGTATATATGTGTATGTATATAGGTGCATAAGTATGCCTGTTTGTTTGCATGCGTTGCACGCACGCATGAGATGTATGTCGCACAGTTCTGGTTACATAGCACAGAGCATGGTCTTCCATGCATGAACAATGCCTTCATCGAAACAGCGCGTATACATCTTTGCATATCAACATGTATAATTAGATACCTATGTGCGAATATGTCGCTCGCAAGTATTGATTCGCATGTTTGTTGTTTCTGTTTGTCTCTCTCTCTCTCTGTATATCTGTCGGTTCATGTTTGCACGGCAGACCAAATCCTTTGAAGGAGGCTGCCAGGGGCTCGCCGCATCTTTCGCCTGACAAGGACCGACTCACCCATGTGTCGTAGCAGCATCCGCCTTCCCCGTTGCACGGACGGTCAAACCGCCCCGGCAAAGTTCAGCGTTGGTGCTTAGAGATCTGTGAGCTCACTGCAGGAGCGACAACTTCAGCTCGACCTGGATCGGACTTGGCCATCTTTGCGTGACCCGTTGTTTCTGGAATGCCATTGTTAGCAAAAGCCACCAGGACCAGCATGATTCGCTCGTGTGGTGGACAGGTATGTTTTCGGAGAACAGCGGTGGTCGACAGTCGTTGGCCAACCTGTTGAAGGCGAGAGACTGCAACCGCAGTGCAACCGCACGGTCGAGGGTGCTGGAAACCAGCAAATCCATTCAAGGATGTTTAGGCTGCGAGCTTCTGGGTCTTATGAGCACCGCGATTTATTGCAAGCTGCTGCGATTGTACGGGCTCTTCAAGACTTCAAGTTGCAGACAGGCGTGGATCATCTTCGATGGGAACGAAGCCCAAGAGGAGAGCGCCCAAGATTTTTCGCTGGATACATGCCAAGTTGCGCTTGTAGTAGTACGTAGGTGAGGCTTTGGGTTGAAGTTGAAGTTGTAGAGTTGTACCTTCAAGCAATGCCTCTGGACTTCAGGCTTCTTTAGACAGAGTGTTCTGCGGGACGACCTGCACACGGACTTGCATGCAAGGAAGACTAAGTTAAGAGAGCAAGAGAGAGCACCCCACACAAAGAAAGGAAGTGAACACACGGTCAGTTAGAAGGCTTTGCGTTTCGCGCTTGGTTACGGTGCTTGGTGCGAATTCGTACACGTGGTACTGGCCCAGAGTGCCAGTTCATGGATGACAGGCGAGCGCATGTCAAGAAGCCACTACTGAGGCCACTGAAACATGCGTGTTGCTCTGTCGAAGAAATGCTTGCAGATGGCTGCCACTCTTGCATGCAAGAAATACTAACGGCATGCTGCGGTGTAGCAATTGCAGCACTTTTCCCGGACGGCTTGGTTGAGATCCTCCCCATCTGACCAGCGGATGCAGCAAGTAGTCGTTTGCAGATGATGCTGCGCAGGTGGCAGGTGCTGTTGGGAGTGCTGGACTTGGACCACTTGATGATAAAGACGTCGCCCGCTTTTGGGCATATAGGCAGCCATTACAATCATTCTGAGCTGACGGCGATCACCGCTCCACGCATCAGCAGCAGTTGTCGTTGAGGTCGAAGAAGTTCGCGCAGGAGCGAGGCAGTTGGGTACGTCCAGGGCCAGAAACTCAGAAGTTCAGATTGCACGCTTTTTGCGAACAAAGCGGCGGCTCGATGCCTTACATCCCGGTATAATGAAACATGCGACAATGCCATCCGCATGCAGAGGCATGAATTTCATCGTCACTGCACTTCTCTGGCACTGCATGGCCGAAGAGGCAGCTGCAAGACAAGCTTTTGCTATGCGCGAGCAGCAGATACCGAGTGCATGTCCTGCATCAGGCGGTGTTCTGGCTCTTCGTGGCCACGGCTTCCGGCTTGCAACATGAGTTTTGTCGAGTGTGATTGTTGGAGAGATTGAGTGCTCTCGTAGTTGGCTGGAATGCACGACTTCTCCAACAGTACGATCCCTTTTGCCTACTGTTGCGTGCCCCGCTTGTGGTCAAATACCAGCAAGTCTGCTGTCTCGGCGACCTCAAGCCTGACATACTATGTGTATCTCGTAAAAGACTGGCAGCTCAATGCGAAGCTTCCGGATGGTACAATCGGAGGGTTCGACTCCATCGGGGTTCCTGACCATTGCTCAGGCCAAGGCTGCTAAAGCCCTCGGGCGGCGAACGTGTGCGAAGAAGTGTTTGGCCTCGCAGAGTACACGAAATGAACCACAACGACCCTGGCCCGCACTCCTTTAGGTTAGTTGTGCCCGTCATCGCGAGATTCTTCAGGTTCACAACTACGACCTGCGCAGCATGTTTGAAGCTCCCGATATGCACGGATTGAAGGCGCAGCCCCTCGTGGTCTGCGAGAGTGATTCTGTTCAGATGAACTCAGCAGACCCAGATGCCAGGTACGCTCCTTCACAATTGCTCAGCTCGTGCATCAAGAGATGCTGCTGCCCTCAGAGGGGAAGGTGACGACATCTGACTCATAGCCCGACTGTTGCCTGACCAATAGTCATTGTAAATGAGTATATGTGATGTGCATTGGTGTGCAGTTGCGCTTTAGCTGAGCTTCTCAACATCCCTCATTGTAGTAAGAAACATAGCTTGCGTCGTGTTGTAATGACAATCGCTAGCGTGGATGGTGGGACATTTCTGAAAGGTGTCATCCCGTGGCCATTTTGGTCTCAAGGGGTGATACCCGATTTTGAGGGTCACCTGAGGACAAGTGGGGGGTGATACATGGACCTGGTGGTCGTCCCACGGAGACCAGAGTGGTTTCTCGCTTCGGGCGGGCCACTCGAGGTTTTCTGGGAAGGCACCGGGGCCGAGTGGATCCTCCTTAGTCTGTGCTTTGGTGTCTGGGCACTCGGCTTCTGCTGTGGGTGTGCCTGCTCTTGTCCAAGAGCGGGCGCCCTAGCAGGCCGGGCCCCGCCGGCACCTGCTTCGTGCCCTGTGGACCGTTGGGCTTTGGTGGCGCAGCGGGCCATCAACTTTGTGAGGAGCCGCCGCCGGCTCTCCCTGGCTTTTGCACACCTGGGGACCTACAGCTTGAGGAACGCGCCGGAGTCCCGGCCTAACTTGAGGAGGCGGGCAGCCCGCCGAGCCGCAACACCCGGGCCCATCTTACACGAAGGGCCGGCCTTGGACCATGGATCCCACGGAGGCCGAGCTACAGGCGACCTCCCCGGGGTGTTCACGTGGGCAGGAGTGTCAGGGATTCTGGAAGCGGCTTTGAGGGAGGCCCTCGGCGACCCAGCTCGCGTCAGAGAGCTGGCACTCGTCCCTAGAGACTCTTGGGATGCAATGGTTACGGCTTTACGGGTGAAGCCTCTGGACGCGGACGGCAACGCAGGCCCACCCCGTGACCTCACCCTTGTCGAGAAGGCCCGACTGGAGTCAACAAGACGAGTGGCCCTGCTGCGCATGGGAGTGCCTCCCGACCTCCCAGGGGGAGTCGGACCACCTACTCCCTCCCCGGCTCCTGGCCCTGGGCCGAGCGTGGGCTCTTCACCTCCGGGGGCACGGCGTCTCAAACTTTCGTCGGTGCTGGACCCCACCTTGGATGCCGATGTAGCTCCTTTGGGCCACAGCGAGCTTCAGCAGCTGTACAAGGACTACAAGGCGAAATATGGGGACTTCCCCAGCCCCGACGCGGACCCATCGGCTGATCAGCTGGCGTCCTTGCGTCAAGTGGTCGTGGCGGGGTCGGCTCCTTACGCCGACTTCTCGCTTTTCGGACCGCACGGGCTCCGCCTGCTTCGAAAGCAGACGTTCACGTCCTACACGTTGAACGTCTCGACAGGCGAGTGGTCCAAGAAGGAGCAGCCAGGGCCGGCATCATACCACGCGTGGGTGGAAGCGTGGAAGGTGTTCCGCACGGCCCTCTTGCTGCTGGAGGTGGCGGATGCTGAGAGGCTCGACGCCTACGCCGAGCACGTCCGCTCCTTCGTGACCCAGTTCTCCGACAGCTGCTGGTGGCTTATATACAGGGCGGAGAATCGCCTTAGGTGTGAGCACCTGGAGCGTCTGAGGAGGATGCTGATGGAGAAGCCCGAGTTCGGGTTCACGGCATCGCGCCCCTGGAACGCCACCTTCGCAGCGGCAGTCCGGGACAGTGAGTACTGGACGCGCGAGCTGGTGACCCCGGCTACGCTGTGGCTCTCTCAGCGTCAACCCGGCTCGGCCAGTACCGATGGTGGTGGCGGGGGCGGCCGTCCCAATGCTCCACCTAGGCGGCCATCGGGGGGTGGCGCCGAAGAGGAGCAGCCCAAGAAGAAGAAGCAGAAGCGCTACGAGGGCGAGGACCACAGCGTCAAGAAGGATGGCATCTACACGGTGAACCGGCGAGGTACCCGCATATGCGAAGGGTACAATCGGGGAACCTGTGGGACCAAGAAGCCCCAGAGCAAGTGCAAGGACAAATGCAGCCATCAGTGCAACCGTTGCCTCGGGCCACACCCGGCAACGGATTGCACCAAGGGCTGACTCGCACCTGCCGATGCCATGGCCGCCTCCTCTTCGGCTCCGGCCGGGGGAGGTTCGGCCGACACGCCACCGCCCGGCACCACGCATGGAGGGCGGTTTGTGCAACCCAAGCCTAAGGTGAGGTCTGCCCCGGCAGAGGACGAGGAGGCCGTGGTCAACCGTACGGCTCAGTCCAAAGCTTCGGGGGCCGCGCCACCCACCAATACTGCCGCCGAAGAGGACCGGCCAAAGCCCCCAACGCCGCCGAAGCCACGCCCAGCCCTGAAACGCAAGAGGCCAGCGAGGGTCAGGGCCAGCATGGAGACCGCGGCCGAGTCGGAGGGGTCAGCCAGGACGGCCCAGCCACGCACCACGGCGACCGGGGCCGCTAGCACCAAGAGCCTTTTGCGGATACCCCCCTTGGCTTCAACTTGGCCGGACTACGAGCCGCTGGCCAGGGGCCCGCGAGACTACGGCACCTGGGTGGAGAAGCCCTCGGACTCCTTTGTCGAACGACCTTGGGCCTTGGTCCTGTTTAGCGGCCGGCGGCGCAAAGGAGACCTCCCAAACTGGTTGGTCCACTACGGCTTCATGGTCTGCTGCGTGGACCTGGTGGCAGACAAGCCCTGCAACGTCCTCGACGAGGCGCACTGGGCCTTGGTGGAGAGAGACATTTTGGATGCCAACTTTTCGGTGGTGTGGGCAGGCACACCCTGTGGCACCTTCAGCCCTCTCCGTGAAGTTCGCCCTGGGCCACGCCCGCTTAGAACGGTGGACGAGATAGAGGGCAAGAGTGGCCTAGGCCCTGCTGAGAAGACACAGGTCAAAGAGGCCAACCAACTGGTGGAGCGCACCTTCGACACCCTGTCGGCAGTGTGGGACCAGAAGGGAACGTGGGGGCTGGAGAACCCATCCCACGGTTCAGGTCGGCCCGAGCTGTGGCAAATGCCTCTGATGCGCCAGCTCGCCCAACTGGACCGCACGAAGGCCGTGCACTTTGACCAATGCCGCTTCGGCCGGACACCGTCAAGCCCACCAAGATCCTCTACTCAGCCCACGCCTCTGGCTTTGCCGAGCTGGAGGGCCTCCGTTGCGACCACCCTTCAGGGTCCCATGGCACAGTGGCCGGGCGAAGGGAGCAGGGCCCCTCAGGCAGCCAGTGGGCTTCAAAGGGCCAGGGCGAGTACACGCCGCACCTTGCCCAGATCATTGCCCACTCCCTCTTTCAGGGCTTCCGCGTGCGGGCCCTGGAGCAAGAATCCCTCTGAAACCCCGATCCCACGGCGGAGTTCGAGGCACTTGGGGCCAGAGCTCCGCGCACGGAGAGGGAGGAGGAGAATCGCCGGGCACTGGGTGGCATGAGGAACCCACGAAAGTCACTTGAGCGCCTGCCACGCTCGAGGAAAGTGGGAAGGGCCGTGCACAAACTCCTGCGCAGCTGCTTGCGACATTGGCCCCAGCTGGTGGAGCCGGCCCGGGCAATTTTGAAGGGGGAGGAGCCCAGCGACTTCGACCCGAAGGTTGTGGCCGCAGTGCGGTCGGCCGTCTTGACCACCCTCGGCACCGAAGCGAAGGGAGACCGGACACGGACGGCTCCGGCACACACGCCAATTCGGGCCGAGGTTCTTCAGGCCTGGGGCGAGGCCACAGATGACCCCGACGCTACAACGCTTGCGGGCTGGCTAGACCACGGGGCTCCTCTCGGCATCTCGGAGAGCATCCCGTGCACGGGGGTGTTCCCACCCGTCAGCCCTCAGAACGTCACCCCACACGAGGCCCTCGACCGCCGGGCGTTGGAGAGCTGGTCGAACTACCAGTCGGCCGAAGAGGAGGCTCAAGAGCTGGAAGCCCTCCTCCGCGATTACGAGGCCAGAGGGTTCTGCAAAGTGGTCTCGTCCATGGAGGAGGCCAAGAAAATCTTGGGTGAGACGCCGGTCCTGAACAAGCTGGGCGTCTTGGTCAAGGAGAAGAAGGACGCTCAAGGCCGCACGGTCAGGAAGGCGCGGGTCATCTGGGACCTCCGCGAGTCCTCCGTCAACAAGGCCTGCCACCAGGGGGAAAGGATCATCCTCCCTCGACTCTTGGACGTGGTGGCTTCCCTCCTCGCGGCCTACCGGAGGGGACGGGCACCCTACATGGCCTGCGTCGACATCCGGGACGCGTTCATGAACATACCGGCCGGGGGAGACCGGAGGTTCACGGTAGCCGCGGTCCCGAGGCGCCGGAAAGGAGCCAGGGCCAGGCTCATCCTCTTCAACACCCTGGTCTTCGGCTCTGCCTCTTCGCCTACGGTTTGGGGCCGGGCGGCGGCATGGCTGGGCCGGTCCACCACAGCGACCGGCACGACCGATGTGCAGGTCTATGTGGACGACCCCATGTACGTCCTCGACGGCCCCGAGCTCCAGACCGCCGCGGGCGACCTTGCAGTGGCCCTCCTTTGGACAGCGGTCGCGGGCTACCCGGTGAAAAAAGCAAGCGGGGGCAAAGACGTGGAGTGGGTCGGGGCGCGGTTGAAGTGCCTGGACCGAGAAAGGGCCGTGGTGGTGACCCTTCCGGAAAGCAAGATCAAGGCCCTCCTCTCCGACACCAACAAGTTTCTGTCTAAACCGGTGGTGGGCCGCCGCGAGCTTCGCTCCTACACCGGGGCACTTTCCTTTGTCGCCGGCCTGGTCCCACACCTCAGGCCCTTCCTGGCGTCCTTCTGGGCGGCTCTGACGCGACATGGCACAACGAATGAGGGCCATCCTGTCAAGGAGGCCCGACGGCTTATCCATGTGCGCCGGATCAGCCCGGCACTTCGCTGGGTCAGGGCCCTGCTGGGCGGGGGCCAGACTATCGAACGGATCTTCTACGCGAGCCCACCTGCCACGGATATGGAGATCGTCACAGACGCGTCCCCTTGGGGAATGGGAGCCGTGCAACGCAACGGGGGCCAGCCGACTGCCTACTTCTACACACACCTCCCGGACGAGGTGCTGTCGCACTTCAAGGCGGAACGCGGCCTCCCGAAGTACAATACGCTGTGGGAGGGCCTCGCGCTCCTGATAGCCTTTCGGCTCTGGCTCCCTGCTTTGGCACACGGAGCTGTCTTCAGGGCGAAGTCCGACAACCTGGGCTTCTTGATGGCCCTCTCGAAAGGGAGTGCCAAATCACCCGAGCTCAACGTGCTGGCCCGAGAGTTCGCCCTGGACCAAGCCACAAGGGCCTACCAGGTGAAGGGCCTGGTCCATATACCAGGCGTCACCAACGTACAGGCGGACGCCTTGTCCCGACTTTTCGCTCCGGAAGCGAAAGCCTTCCCAAAGGAGCTTCTGGGAGTGCCTCGCGCCGAGGTAGCCCTTAACGCAGACTTCTGGAGAGTGTGAGCAAAAGGTGCGAGGGTTTGTGTCGGTGCGCGCGCTCTTGACTCTCGTTCTTGCCTCCCCCCCTCTTCTCTCTCTCGCTCTTCGTTTGCGGCTGGTGTTTGTGAGGGTCTGTGATGCCGCTTGCCGCCAGGTGCATTCGTATTCGAGCTGCAGCGATGCCCAAGCCTAAGAGATCGTATAGAGCGGCTTTCTGGCCTCTGAGTAACCCCTCCGAACCTCAGCTCGAACAGGGGCGAGCGACCATTCTTCGCGAGGGTCCTGCCCTAGGGCAAGCCCAAGCGGCGGTCGCAGCCCCGAGGGCTCAAGCGGCAGGAGTAAGGCCTGATGCCGCGGGTAGACCTAGGAATGGCGAGCCCTTGGAGTATCGTCGGGGGTCGGCGGCCAAGGCAATGGAATCTTTAAGTGACCCCGCTCGTTGCAGAGCCATCTTGCTGGCAGATTCGAGATCATCCACTTCGGCTGGCCCGGTGGTATCTCGATTGAGGCAGTGGGAGAAGATGTCGGCCAAGGCGAACATCCTCGACCCCTTCCGACTTTCTCCCGAAGGGGTTTACACCGTGATGGGTGCCCTTAAGGACGCCGGCTACCGCTCAGCGATGCAGTACCTGGACCTTGCGAAGCAAGAACACATCCAGGCTGGCCACCCTTGGACGGATCAGTTGGCCTTGGCCTACAGGGTTTGCGCTCGTTCTTGCAAGCGCGGCCTCGGCCCAGCTAAGCAGGCGTCTGCGCTCCCTCTAGGTAAGCTGGCTACTGTCAACTCTGGTCAGTGCCTCTCTCCGGGGGGTCCTACGAGACCGGTTGTTTCAACCATTGTTGCGTCCTGGTGGCTTCTCAGAGAGCTCGAGGCCTCCAGGGCCAGAGTCAAGCACGTCACGCTCGATTGGCACACCAAGACTGCTGCCTGGCTCCTGCCGTCGTCGAAAACAGACGTGGCAGCGCTAGGTGCCACCCGGAAACACGCGTGTTCGTGCGGCGCCCTCGACCCTGGTCTCTGCCCATTTCATCTCCTAGCATCGCTAGTACAGGGAAAGCGACCCAATGACCCTGTGTTCACGGACGTCGATGGAAATCCGCCCTCCAAAAGTGGTTGGGCTGAATATCGCGGCCCAATTGGGCTTACCTCTGTGCCACCAAAACGGGGCTAGGGCGTTCACGGGTCACACAGCCAGGGCCACAGGTGCCCAGTTTATGGCATCCCAGGGGATCGAGATATGGCGCATCCAAATATTTGGACGCTGGGGAAGCAGTACGATTTTGATCTATGTCAGAGACGCCCCCCTCGCCCACCTGTCCGAGTTGGCGATAGAGTCTGGCCACGGTGCCGCGCTTGCGCGCGTACGCCAGGAACTCGAATCGTTGCTTCAGAGGGCCCGTCCTCTCTTAGCAATTCCGGACCAGGATTGGAGGGATTTTCAACACCTGGAGCAAGCTCCACCGCGTCCACTAGCCACTGAAAGGTTGGGCGCGCGTCTCGTTCTCAATACGGCAAGGGGGGGCAAGCTTCACCGATGCCTCAGCGACCTCAGCTCGCCTGAGGTAGCCCTGAACCCTAGGTGCTGGCGCACCTGCTGCCTCTGGCCGTTCGCCATCGGAGGATCCTACTCGTGGGTCTCCAACCGCCACCGCGGTAAAAGGTGCAAACACTGTTTCCCTGGCGAGCGGAGAGCTGCATCGGAGAATACATCGGGTGGCTCTACCGATCCAAGCTCCAGCAGTAGCTCGGAATCGAGCGACAGCTCTTGATACCTACAAGCAACCGCGCTTAAGCAGGTCGGACATACATTGCGTTTCCTCAGGTCAGGCGGGTATCTTTGCCCACTTGAGTTTGTCGAGATTCTGAAAAGAACTCGACATAGCAAGCGGAGCGACCTGACGACCACCATTGAAAAGATGCGTGTCTGCTGCTATAGCAGTAAGGAGGTTGCTTGGGGAGCGGTAAAGCGATTGTCGTAAGAAACATAGCTTGCGTCGTGTTGTAATGACAATCGCTAGCGTGGATGGTGGGACATTTCTGAAAGGTGTCATCCCGTGGCCATTTTGGTCTCAAGGGGTGATACCCGATTTTCCCACCCACCCACTCCCGGGTATCTTTGCCCACTTGAGTTTGTCGAGATTCTGAAAAGAACTCGACATAGCAAGCGGAGCGACCTGACGACCACCATTGAAAAGATGCGTGTCTGCTGCTATAGCAGTAAGGAGGTTGCTTGGGGAGCGGTAAAGCGATTGTCGCTTCAGGCCCGACCTTTCTGCCCACCTGGCTGAGCACATGCAAAACTCTTTGAGTGGGAAACTCAGAGTTTCAATGCGCGCCCTCCGTGTGAGATTTTGCTCTTGTACAGGTCTGCTCTTCACGGAGTGGCTGCCTGGCCCTCTCGACTACACTTGTTGCAGGTTTGAATAGGATTGGTGACGCCAGGACATGAAGCCATTGCAAATCACCGCCATTGCCAAGGCTGACACTGTTCGCAGGGAGCATGCCCCTGACACCGCTTGTCTCCGGCTTGGCATTTTTGCTTAGTTCGCTTGACATGCAATGTGTCGCATAAAAGGATTAACACTTCCCAGTTGCTCAAAGGCGATCCTGTGGGATCACTTCTTCCAGGAAGGTGACGGCCCAGTACATGCCAGACGGACTGCTGTCGCTTGCTTCATGCAGGAGAATTTGCGTGCGGCATCTTACAGCCAGCAAGGAATGTGCTCCCAAGTTGATTGCAGTGTGGGTTCGAGTGACGCATCCAGTCTGTGGACTGCTAATGAAGGGCCGCCCCAACGCGACAGTAACACTGCAGCTCCTCAAAGTCCCTAGACTCTAGACTCTAGCCCTGGAAGCAAGCAGCGGCTTGAAGGTTGAAGCGTAGGCTCACTGTGCGCCATGGCCTTTGTCAAGACGCACAGGGAAGAAACCACGCGAAGAGTTCAAGGCCAGATCTGATGCGTGCTTCCAGCCCGTCAGTGCGAACGCGTGTTTTTTTTGATGTCGCCAGGGCCTAGCCAGGGTTCAGCGGACGAGCATCTTACTTGCGGCCTGACAGGTCCAGACATCGCAGCACGCAACTCGGCTGCACCCTGGTACGCCCCTGGCGACTGCAAAGACTTGATCGTGTGAGTCCATGTGAGCAGGTTCCATTGCCCCAGACATTCAAGTCTCAAGACACAGCAACACAACACGGCTTGCTCTCCACGTCCTTGCAAGTCAGCCATGCCGTTCCTGCGATTGCTGTGCCTCGGCACAGCCGTGGCTGCCATGGCAGCAGATACGCCTGCACAGGAAAGCTGCCTGTCACAAGGAACTCGGTGTCCTGACAAGGGTCTGTCGTGGCTGCAGCTAAAAGATGATGTGAAATCTCGTGCCAGCCGGGCTTCTGAGCTCGGAAAGGTTCAAGCAGTCAGCGATGGATGCTGCAGCTCTTTCGACACTTGGCCGAACGTCGACAATGGTGTCACATGTGCAGACTGCATGGCCCTGGTGCTGACCGCACCATACAGTGGCCGTTGTGACAGGTACTGTGAGAGCTTTGGGCATGTGTGTGTGGCAGCGGCGGAGGAGAAGTCGGAAAGTTGCGAAGAGCAGTCCACCCAACCCTGCAATCAAGCCATTTCCGGGACGTCGGACATGCTGTGCAAGTGCGTCTTGCCGGATGCACCGCCCGCTTGCCCGGCTCCTCCAACCGAAAGCTCATGCTGCAGCGGATTCAGCAGCTGGCCGGATGTGGACAATGGTGTCACCTGCGCAGACTGCATGGCGCTGGTGCTGACCGCCCCATACTCCGGCCGTTGTGACAGGTACTGCGAGAGCTTTGGGCATGTGTGCGTGGCAGCGGCGGAGGAAAAGTCGGAAAGTTGCGAGGTGCAGTTCACACAGCCCTGTGATCAAGCGATATCAGGGACATCAGACATGTTGTGCAAATGCGTCAAGCCGGATGCACCCGCCTCTTGCCCGGCTCCTCCGGCCACCACTGCTCCTCCTACAACTACGACGACGACTACGACAACGATGAGCACATCCTCCACAGCACCACCAGCTGCTGAAACTTGTTGCAGCTCTTTTAACACTTGGCCGAACGTCGACAATGGTGTCACATGTGCGGATTGCATGGCCCTGGTGCTGACCGCACCATACAGTGGCCGTTGTGACAGGTACTGTGAGAGCTTTGGGCATGTGTGCGTGGCAGCGGCGGAGGAGAAGTCGGAAAGTTGCGAAGAGCAGTACACCCAACCCTGCAATCAAGCCATTTCCGGGACGTCGGACATGCTGTGCAAGTGCGTCTTGCCGGATGCACCGCCCTCTTGCCCGGCTCCTCCAGCCACCACTGCTCCGCCCACACCATCCCCGAACAGAAGGATTCAAGTTGTCGGAAAGCAGCTGCTCGTCGACGGCAAGCCGCTACACATGAAGGGTGTTGCATGGAACCCGGTGCCAAAGGGGGGATCCCACCCACGCGATCTAGACTTCGCTGGCCTTGTTGAGCAGGACGCAGCGCTGATGCAGCGCATGGGAGTCAATGCTATCAGAACTTACGAGGCGATCACAGATGTCAAGGTGCTGGACACGCTCTGGAGCAAAGGGATCTGGGTCGTGAACAGTGTCTACAATTATGGTGGGTCATCGGCAAACTCGGCCGCGGAGGCCGTGCGAGCCACAAAGGATCATCCGGCCATCCTGATGTGGAGTATCGGAAACGAATGGAACTACAACGGTCTGTATGTCGGCATGAGTTTCCGCGACTGCATCGCTCGTGTCCGTGAAGTTGCTCAGATTGTGAGAAGTGTTGACACTGCACACCCCATCTCGTCGATCTATGGAGAAGTCGTCGGCAAATTTGATGAGGCCGTTGACTTGCTCCGGGCTGAGATTGACATTTGGGGTATCAACACATATCGAGGCATCAGCTTCGGCAACATGTTCAGTCAATACGAAGCAGTCTCTGACAAACCCATGTATTTGGGAGAGTACGGCGCTGACGCCTTCAATGCGAAGATCAACCGAGAAGATCCTGAATCCCAGGCAAGGGCCACTCGGGAGCTCACAGAGGAGATCATCAGCGAGTCCTCCGTGGTCGGGCCCGGCGCTTGCATTGGAGGATTTGTTTTCGAGTTCGCGGACGAGTGGTGGAAGGATGGGGGCGGCAGCCCCAGGGTCCACGACACCGGCGGGATTGCACCAGGTGGTGGACCCTACCCAGACAAGACCTTCAATGAAGAGTGGTGGGGCTTGGTCACGGTCGATCGGGAACCACGACAGGCTTTCGATGAGTACGCCAAGACGGCCTTGCCACAAGCTTTGGCACAAGACTCAGTCTCAGTCCTTACAGGCTGAAGCAGATGATCAGGCAACAGGCGGTGCTTTCCTGAATACCACATACAATGTGCACCTTGTGTAGTCTAAGTGGTCTAGTTGTGCAGGAAATCATCGCGAAAGCCTGCTTCATGTACAGCTCGAGGCTTAGCAGAGATCGCGACACGATCTTAGCAGTTTTGGGTGCGAGGCAGTGCCTCATGTCGCACTTGACTTGCGCCGCGCCGAAGTACACCCGGAAACGCCAGGGCTCGGCCTGTTTTTCTTGAGCACTGCGGGCTTCTCAGCATTTCGTCACAGTACAGCCGGTAGCACGGCCCGGCGGAAAGCCCAATTCATTGCAAGCGAAGTCACATGCTGCACGGCTTTGCACGAACTGTGCAAAGGCCTTTTGCGGTCAAGGTGGCCCTTTGCTCAAGCCATTTGTCAACGATACTGGAAAGTGGACTACGGTGGATTTTCCGGGGGGCGGTCGTGGCGGTGAGCAGGGCACAGGCCGTTACAGAAGGTGCTGCTGGTGTTACAACCACGTGGCACGTGAAATTTGCGCGGCATTTCTTCCGGCAAATGCTGCACATGCATGGACGCAAGATCCAAGAAGTCCAGTCTGAGCAAACTGTTCGGCAGGAGTTCGTGGTTCGGCACAGTTGCATATTTATGCAGACCACTTTTGAATGGCGCCCCACAGTGAAGGATAAAATGGCTGAGGCAATTTTCTGAACGAATGCGAAAACTTGACGCAATCAGCGAGAGAGAAGCACAAGAAACAAGCAGAACAACTGTTCATACTCAAGTGGTAGGAGCATTTCTGGTGATTGTTGTCGAAAGGTTTTGATGCTCGGCTGGATTTCCTGGAAGAAGCCTTGACTGCCTTTCAGGCCGGATGCTCCTGTTGCATAGAATTCTGTTGCACGGACGATGGCAGTGACAGCCTTCGCCGCAGAGTAGACGGAGTGCAGACCGGATCAAAGACGTTGGCGCCATGATGTAGTCGCAGCACCGCGGTTGTCTCAGGCACAGGTGGAACAAAAGCAAAGCGCTTCCAGACACTTGCTGGACATGAACATCGACAGTGTTCGACGAGAGCTGGAAGCAGCAGTTCGAGCCATCCAGCAGAAAGATCACACCGAGCTTTTGCAACAAGCATCTTGGGGAGCAATTCTGTCCGAGAGCATTCATGGAACAAGGATGTGGGGGAGCTACACTTGGTCTGCTTGCTATTACTTCTGAGGCAGAGGCTGTGGCAGCCAGCTCGGCCACAAAGGCTGTCCGAGAATCGCTGCACGAGGCAGCCAGTCTTGCATTGCTGCAACAAGCGGCGGACAGCAAGCATGTTTTGCATGGATGCCGCTACGCAGCTATAGTGAAAGGTCTAGCTGGCGAAACACTCTTCGGGATTGAGGTCCGTAAGGTCCCTGTGCGACAGGAGATGGTGGGCATCGCACGCAAAATGACCGCGATAAGTGGCTCAGCTTGATGAGCTGGGCTGTGTGCCCTTTGTAAAAGATGATAGGGAACCGATTGCACGGCGCATGTCACATGTGTGCCCAGACTCAGGCGATACCTTGGATGAGCGCCTCCGAATCATGGAGGATAGGCTCAAATCAATGGACAAACGCCTCGGCAAATCCGTGGAAGAATTCTACCACCAAGTAGAGGATTTGGAACACCGTTTCGCAAACGAGACTTGGATCCACAAAAGTCATCTCAGCTTATTGCATGCCCCAATGCATGGAAGGCTGTCTCTGTATGTTGCCAAGTGCAGGCATGGGGCACAGTTTGAATGTAAATAGCCCGTTAGACTCCTAGAGAAGTTTAGGCGAATGAGACAACAGAGCTGACGTTCTGGTCCTATTTATGGGTATCCTTGCCGGATCCAAGAAGATGTCATGAAGTCTGCAGGTCATGCGTCCAGTCTTCACAGCTTCAAGACAGGACAGAAAAGAGCCCGGGACTCCATGACCGCTTGTTTGGTTCTTCCTTACCGCAACCACGCAGGCAACATCTAACTGAAACTGTTGAAGATGTGGATGAAACATGGATAACTGTAGCTGTAGCTGTCTGTCGCCGGGTCCTACGAAGCGCAAGCAGCGCGAGGTGTAGGCTTAGTTGGCGGAGGCAGAGGTAAGCTGTTGATCCTGCCTGAAGGCAATGCAGTGCTGTATATCGCCTACAGCAGACGCGATTCCGCCATTCGATCTAGGTGATCATATGTGGGAGCAGCTGCGTGCCAGTCTTTCTCTAAGGAAGAGAGCAAGCTGGACCCGACCGTGGCAGCATTGATCCCCAAGCTCGTCCAGAGCTGGGGTGAGGGACGATTCACTTCGCAGGGTGACATGGCGAAGTGGATCGATGGCAAGTTCGACAACCTGGAAGCTGACCTGTCCGGAGACATGCGAGGGTTAAAAGTTGAGATTCAGGAGCTGCTCAAGAATGCAAACAAAAACATGAGCCAGCGAATGGACCAGCTCGTTTCGGAGTGCGTGGAAAACAAGATAACTCCTGTCGAGAACCAGCTGACATCCATGGAGATGATGCTCAGGAGATGTGGGGATGATGGTTTTCCAAGCAATGTTTTGCTGCATGAGTTTTCCGATAAAACAGGCCCTGTCCCCTGAAGGAATGTACTTGCACGACAAACCGCGCTGGAAGAAAACCCTCCTGCAGCGCGGCAGGCGGAGGAGGACCTACACCGCATTCCGCAGTGCCCACCATCGGTGAGCCACGTTGTCGTGAGGCTAGAGGTGCTGAGACCCTTATAGCTCAACTTACCTAAGCCCTTCAATGATATTTTCAGCCAAATGCTTCCAGAGGCAGACTTCTTCCAAGTGCCAGGAGGTGCACGAAGACCCGCAGGAGACACAACCAGAAGCTGCACCGCCAGGCTCTTCAGGGGATCTGGACCTGACAGGATTTCCCGAATCAGCATCCTAGAACTTGCCTGAACCGGTGAGGGTGCACTTGAACCCAGTTTGTGCACGATCGGTCCAGTCTTGGCGTTGGCTTTGCAGACTCAGGCGACAGTTTGGGCACGTGGCTCAAAAATCAGACGCCCGGCAGAGCAGATGGCAGCAGGAAGCGTGTGTGCAGAGGCTGACCCAGCCCCGTGGCAATGGCACGCGATGTCAAGATTAGCTTAGCATAACCTCACTTGTGGGCATCCGTCCCAGCATGCGAGAAGGAAAAACACTACTCGTAGCATGGATGCACCGAAGGCAAAACGGTTTAGCGTCCGTGTCCCAGGATCCGTGCCATTACAGACCAGGCCGGGCAGGGCGAGGAGCAGGAGCTGAGTGGCCCCGAGCTCCTGCACTTTGGTGTCCCGTAGGGACCATTATCATGACATTGTAGCTTGTATTTGTCGGGATCCTGCTCTGCCAAGCTTCCGCTCGTTTGACAGCTGAGGGCCTGGATGAGGAACCAGGTCACAGACATGGTGCAAGGCCCGGCTTGAAGTGAAAAGGGAGCCGTCAGAATTCGGAAGAAGCCGGCAAGCTCGCAGTGCGGATCGTCGTCTTGGATTCACGTTTCCACGGTGTTGTTGCACGCCTGACTTCTGACTCGTGGCAAGCGCGTGCAACAGCACAACCGGCTCGGCTTCCACACTTGTCCGAGACCTGGTGCCACCGCCGAACCAGAAGCACAACTCCCTTTGCAGCAGCACCTCTGACGTCCCTTCCCAGGCGTGGAGAGTTGCTTTTGTCGGAAGTGGAAGGTTGCTGAATGATAGTTTTGCTGCAGAATCCAATCAAGACCGTCACTGCCCGGAGAGTGAGTTGACTTGAGTACCATGAAGACACCATGACTCCGTCTCATTGCAGGGACACCGCTTCTTTGAGTCTGGAATTTCGCTTCCAATCTCTGCTCCTCTGACGCCGGGTCTCTTTCTGAGCGGATGCAGGCCGGTGAGGACGTGGTTGCTGCAGCAGAGTCTGCTGAAAAGCTGTCGAACCTTGAGATCAGCCGGTCGGCACGCACTACGCAGGTCCAATGCGCCGTGTGCATGTCGTGGGCAGTGGCACACTGCTGAGGCACCTCAAACTTGGCCGCGCGCCTTGCTGCCCTCGAGGACGCGGCTTTGGTTGGTCGTGTGGCGGCCCTCGAGGGCGCATGTTTGGAAGAGCAACTGGGATTGAAGGAAATTCGGCTTAAAACATAGGCAGCGGCATGAATCAGCAAGCTTAGTGCTGTCGACCGCGCGTCAGTCTTTTGCGTTGTTGATCGTTGTTGAACAGATTTGCAGCTTCTGGGGGATCACTTTAAATTGGAAGCTTCTCGGTTCTCCTCAGTGTGGGGTCTTCTTGGGGTTTGGGTGTTCCTGCTACAGCATGGGTCAAGCTGACATCCAGCGAGCATCTTGTCTCCAACTTTGCAAACAGGGCGAGGCTGCTGGGCCGTCGTTCAAATTCAGATCAGCTCAAAGTGGCAACGATTTGCACCGCTTGGCCTAGCGATGGGTATCATCTTCTGCCGAGGCGGCTTGCGCTGCTCGAAACTTCGCGTCCGATTTTTTCCGGTGCCGGCCTCAAGCTGGGTGGGGGGTGGAGCCTCAAGTTCGTCGTTCCGTCCAGCACTTTAGATGCGCGCCGCCTCTGGCTTGTTGCGTGAGGGATCGTGCTTTCAGCTGCTTTGCAGGGGGACTTCCGGCGGCTGCAGCCGGCAACCAGACTGCCGTGAGTCCGGCTAGTATCAGCCAGGTGCTATCACTGCGTCTCCTGGCCTGCACTTCCAAGCTTTGGCAATTCGATCCAAGATCCGCGTGGAGTCTGATGGTGACGTAATCACAGGAACTTGAGGGTCGAGGCTCAGCATTTAGAGTCGAGGTTTAGCATTCAGAACGTGCCATCAGGTGAAGAGGTCCATCGGCTGCGCAATCGAGTCGGCGTGCTGGAACAGCCACTCGGTGTTGCCTGTGGCTGCCTGCACTAGACGACGGTCATATCATAAATCGGCTGATGGATGTGTCATGTCCTGACAGAGGCTGGTCCAAATCCCCGACATGCAAGTCGGACCGACGGAGCCAAAGAGCCCGCCGTATGCGGAGGGCATCTCGACCGCACACATGGTCCAAGATTTCAGAGCCTGACAAGCAAGCTGACGATGTGCTTCCCCGAGTTTCTGGTTCCTTCGCTGATAGCCGCCCAGGTTCCCCAAAGTTGGGATCACCTCGCAGGACCGGGGATGCCCAAGCACAGCTTAGAAGAGACTCCAAGTTGATACGAAGCTTTTCTTCATGAGAAGCTTGGTTTGCTTCAGGCTTCGATATGTTATGCGCTGACTCTGTAGCCGTACGCAGGGTGAATTTTCTCAGGATAGGGAAATACAGACCTTGTCACATGTGACGTCTTCTGCAGACCCGGCAACGAAGAACTTTGCATGCTTCAGGATGTGCACTCGACACGATTAGTGCACGATTCCGCTTTATCCAGTATGGCCTGCCTTGTCCGTTCACATATTATAGTTAATACCGACTTAATGCCGACCTTCGAAATGCATCGGCTACAACTGGTCGCAGGTTCGAGGGGGACGAAGACATAAAGCGCAGCCTCTCCGACTTGTGGTGCGCAGTGTCGGGAGACCAGCGAACTCTGGGAATCCTCTCCTCGAAAATGGAAGACGCTGTGAGAGACTTCTCCAGATTGCTGCCCGGCAGCCTTCAGAACTCAGTCCGGAAGCTATGTCGTAGGGCGGGCATAGGGTTGTGCATTGTCAGTATGCCGGACTACAACCCTCATTGACTGGCATGGCCTCTCCAGGCAGACGCGATTTGAGGCAGCGCTGCCGCAACTCTTGCAACTTCTTAGTGAGCTTTTGCGACGCCACGGCGGCGGCACGGGCGAGACTGGAGAGGGATCGGAGGACTGGCGCGTGCTAAATCAAAGACATTCATTCAGACAAGTCTGATCTGCCCACAGCTAGAGTCAAGCTAGTGTTGCAAGGTCACAGTCGGCACGATACTACGCTTGTGAGTTGTATGTGCGTGTGCGTGTTGTTATATCGTTACTTGATCCGCATGTGGAAATTGCAGATTGATCCCTGTTAGATGGACGTGCTGGTCGCAATGCAGAAGCTGTTGTTCGGTGGAGAGTCTGGAATGCCATTTGTGCCCCACGGCTTGAGCATGCATAGTCGCAAAATCGACAAAGTCCACAGTGGAACGGCAGCCTAAAATTACTGGGACATGCCTTTGCTTTTTCCATCTTAACTTTGAACCTGTAAACGCAAGGAGTATGCAGCCATTGATTGCATCCCGAGGTCGCCCCATGTGCTGAGGGAGACCTTCAGTGCATTCGAAGCCGACACTTTTCTGCAGTTAGCCTGGGTCTGCACTGAATGCCCTCTAGGCACTTGCCGGGCAGTTCAAAGCAAGTTCAAGCTGGGGTCTGAGGTGATGCGCAGTGAAATGGAAAGGCCGACAGCTCGGACCTTTGGAGAGGGCGAACTCTGCAAACTGCGAGCTGCGCATAGGCTGAGAGATGAGTTTTTCCGGGCAATGGCCGACAAGGCACAGCCAGAGCAGATTTCAGGCTCTGCGGATCGTATGGCATGCAGGCCAAACTCGATGACACCGAATTTCTCGCAGAGCAGATGCGGCTTCTACATGGACAGTTGCAGATGCTGTGGCAGAATTTCGAGAAGCTCATAGCTGGTGAGAAGGACAGCCGGAGAGATTTGTGCGGACGGAGAAGGCTTGCACGCGGCAAGAACTACTGTAGAACATCTCCTGCAGGAGTCAAACGCCGCAATTTGGCGTACGCCACTCCATGCCAGATGTGTGAGCTGCGACAAGAAAGTGGACATCAAGGGCTCCTTCGAATCAAAGGATTGCCCTTACCCGGTTACCCATGAAGAGGTCACGTCTGACAGCATTTCCGGCCTGATGACGCGACAGTCTGCATCGCATAATTGCAAGTTGGAAACCCGAGGCATGGTACTGTTGGATCGGGATCCCGCTTTCTTGCCGACACAGTCGCCAAGCCCCGTTCCCCACGAGCGCCGCCTGGCAAAACTCAGAGTGAAGGCCGAGTCTTTTGCACCAAGTGCTCTAAAGCCAAAGGTGTCAAAACATCGCCTACATACCCAGCTAGGTGCTTCCTCTGCTCGGCGTGCACGGGGACCACGGGATCTGCCAGCGTCTAAGGCTGATGCCGAATGAACGCAGTGCAAGACCCAAGGCAAATTCCGCAACGTCTGTGCTGAATCTTCCGAGGCCGTCACTCAGCAGGCCAGACTCCCCGCCGCTTGGAAGCAATAAGGAAGGACTTGAAGGTTGAGGGAAAAATGCTGGCTGCCAGAATCACAAGAGTTTTTGGACACTCGGAAGAGACCAGGGTCTATGGCTGTCGCAGCGAAGGCAAGCTTTGCAATGATGGCCCTCCAAATCCTCCCAGTTAGTGCACTGCAACGTGACGTTGAGTTGTGCCAAAGTGCACATGCTTGAACTTGACCCCTGGCATTTCGTGTAGAAGTCAGCAAAAATGTCCCGCTTTTCCAAAAAGCATAGTGCAGGGCAAGTTCAGCTTGCAGCGCGTTTGCAAGTCGTCGTGTTTCACCCAGGAAGGCGCCGAATGCGAAAGTCAGCTACTTGTAGGTAGTTGGTCGCTTCAATGTCAAGTCAACTAAACGACTGATGATCCGATAGTGTTTTCGTGGATGACATTGGTTGTGGAGCCGCAGCTACGGTTGCAAGTGCACCTGTCGCACTGCTACGGAGCTACAGGTTGGGCCAAAGATCCCAAAGCATTCGCTTCTGCAATCGGTGGGGACGAAAAGAACCCCCTGGGAGTCTACCGGATCTTCCTCGGCCGTGCAGTGTGCCAATTATGTAGAAAGTGCTTGGCTTCAGGCTACAGCGTGATCTACCGCCTGATACTGGCCAGATTGAGGCGGCCCAGTGTCAAAGCGGCCTAGGCTTCTGTAGGGCCAGCTTCAATCGTTGCCTTGGCCTTGACATTGCGAGGCTTGTCGTTTGAATTCGTCAGGTTGCCTGATTTCTGGGTGTAGCGTTGCAACTTCATGCTCCTTTGCTGGCTCCTGTCGAACATCGGAGCCTTGCTCGGCCGTCCGTGGGGTTCTCTGACTCCTCTGCAACAGAAAGTTGTCGAGCTGAACAGCTGAACCATTCCAGCCCTGTTTTGAGCGCCTCGCAGGTCCCGGCTCTGCATCCCACCTCCGTAGTGGCCGAACGTCTCACGACATGGGGAGCGGTTCAGTCCGAAAGCAGAGATGAGGTGTTTGAGACCGTGGCTTCTGGCCGAGACTGATTTTGGCGTGCTGGTTCATCTGGTGCGCCTCTGGCCCTGTGGGATGTTAGAATCTTGAATCTTGTTGATTTGGGATCTGGTTGCATGAACAGTAAGAGGTGGCTGCTGTGACTACAGACAGTGCGCATGACCGGGAGAAACGGCAAGGTGAAGAACGCTCACTTGGACTTCATCGGGCCTGACTGCCGGTATCCAGTCCCAGATCACGCGGGCACAAAGGGCTCGTTTTGAATGACATTGGTACTTCGCAGCCGCACACTGCAGGGTCGCTTCTTGTCTCAAGTCTCGTGGCTGCTCAAATCGCCTCATCGCACAAGGCCGTGGCCTCGACCTGCCCGACCAGGCGGTTTGCAGCTTGAGGGTCCGGACTGTCTCAGATCTAGAGGGACAGCCGCGCGGCGGCTTCACGTGTGTGTGTGTGTGTGTCTGTCTGTGTGTGTGTGTGTGTGTGTGTGTCTCTGTGTGTGTGTGTCTCTGTGTGTCTCTGTGCGCGTCTGTGTGTGTCTCTGTCTGTGTGTCTGTGTCTGTGTGTGTGTGTGTTTGGCACGCTGTCCAAAGTGCTGGCAACTACAAGACTCGTGGCTTGGATGCGAAGTCGTGCACGACTTCTGTCGGGTCCGTTGAGGTTACTTAACTTAGGGCGTACTTTCCACTACACTCGGCTCCAGTGCATGGGAAAGTCGGCACACTTATCAGCTGTTAGCCGAGTCTGCTCCTGGACCCTGTAGAGAACAGCCGATTCCGGAACACTGCCAGCTGCAGTGAGGAACAGCTCCTGAGTGGGGGTCGAGAACACACCACCACAAGTCGGGAACACGAGTCAGTAGTCACTGTCAGGAACAGCATTCCGTAGCAAACCCAGCCAGGAAGCACTCACGGCCACATTTCGTCCGAATACCATGAGGTAGCGCATGGTCAATTTGTGGTATGTTCCTGACTTGCGCCGTCATAGAACTGGTAGATAGCCTAAACCAGCCTTGATGTCTATTCGCCGGATTAAGGCCCTACAATAAATCTAGACACCTGACTCTAGGTTCCCGACTTGCCCACTCATGTTCCCAACCCGCTTCCCGAATCCTGACTCACGCCTCATGCTTGTTATGAACTGGCGCCTTTCTGTTCTCGACTTGCCCGCCCCTCTGACTCCACACTTACCCAGTTGGCACTGCGATACGAAGCAGGCACATTCTCGAGTAATCGCGCATTCACTGTGCCCCGGAGTACGCGCCGTCCAATCTGGCAAGAAGGCACAGTGAACACGCGATTAGTCGAGTATGCGTGCAGCTTCGTATCGCGTTGCCAAACCGGGTGTCGCTAGGCATTTGAGCCGAGCGTGCTGGAACTATGCCGTAACTTTATGAGGTCAAGCACGATTTCGATCCAATCCGCGAAAGTTTTGTAAACACCAGCACTTGAGACAAGGTGCTAAGCCCCACTTACCCTCTCAGAGGTGCAGCGGTTCAGGGACTAGGGTTCCGACTTCCCAAGTTCGGATGCAAAAAAGAGTGTCCCGGGAATTGAGTGAAGCCGGACGTTTTCAGCCCCCGTCTACAGGAAAACGTGCGGTGTGGACATATTATAGGACTCCGTGTCGCAAGTTTATCACCGGCCAGCTGTCTTATCCAATACCTGCAAGTTGCCGGCAAAGGGCCGCAAGGACCAGCTCTACGATGTTTCTGTATAAGACAAAGCATGGAGTGCTAGTCACGCCATGTTCACTACGGAGGTAGCATGAATTCAGCTGGCCTTGCCACCTCCATGTCCTAAGAAGCATCGTCTCGAAAGGCCTTCCCGGTTTTGCCGTGGACGAGTCCAGCCCAAAGCGTGGCGAGGGCGTGTCCCGCTCCGCTCATACAGGCCTGGTCTTGACTCTCTTGTGTGCGGTCCATTCTCATGGGTGCTCAAACTGGCTCGGAACAATCTGCTCGATTCGCAGATGGCACCGCCGTGACTGCTGGGCCGCAGCCGATGATGAGCAGACGCCGTGGATTGCTAAGGCCAGGCGACGAACGCAGTAACCTCCTCCTCTTCCTACTGCTTCCCCTGCTGCTGCCCCCTGCTACTCCTGCTGCTGCACGTGGTGGTGCTGGTGTCGCAGGCGTACTCGTCCTCGTGGTAGCAGTACCCCCTAGTACCACCAGCAGGAACTACGACCACTGCTGTTCCTCCTCCTCCTCCTCCTCCTCCTATTAACTACTATACTACTACTTCTACTACTACTGCTACTACTGCTACTACTGCTACTACTGCTACTACTGCTACTACTACTACTACTACTACTACTACTACTACTACTCCTACTCTTGCTGCTGCTGCTGCTGCCACTACCACTACGACTACGATTGGCTACAACGACCACGACTTCGCTACTTGTGCGACGACAACTACTGCTGCTACTATTTCTACGACTACGACGACGACTACTACGACTCCTACTACTCCGCAGCTGTCAAAGGCGTGCCAGGTTGGTGAAAATTACTACTACCACCACTACCACAATTACGACTACTACTACTGCTGCTGCCACTGCTACTACTACTTCTGCTGCTGCTACTGCCGCTGCTGCTACGACAACGACGACGACTACTACTACCACAACAACTACTGCTGCTGCTGCTACTGCCACTGCCACTGCAGCTGCCACTACGACTACCACTACGACTACCACTACCACTACCACTACCACTACCACTACCACTCCTCCTCCTCCTCCTCCTCCTCCTCCTGCTCCTCCTCCTCCTCCTCCTGCTCCTGCTCCTGCTGCTGCTGCTACGAGCAAGGACAGTGGCAATTCCCCAGGTCGAATGGCAGAGCACTATCTGCTCTTTCCCTTGTTGCTCCTGCAGCTTCACGCGCTTCCTGTTGTGAGGCGGCTCGTCCGTGCGCGGGACCCCCAAACGGATTCTGCCTCAGCAAGCAGAGGGCTTGAGAGTGCGGGTGAACCTTGCTCGGCATATGCAATGGCAACAGCACTTAGCAGACAGTGGAGACTGTTAGGGCTTAATCTTTGTCAGCGAGTGGATCAGCGTCCTTGCACAGCAAGGTGAGCGCAAACCGTTGCCCGCAACTGCCCCAGTGCTGCGCTGGAGCCTACCTACAAGTTGGTAGACGCATCGGAGGTGAATGTTGGACTGGTGGAGCACAGATTATAAAGAGATCATACGCGTTGCTTCACGATGCTTTGCACATTTGTGCACCCTACAAAGCCCTGCCACTTTTGCTGAGGCCGGTTGAGCCCAGTGGGCAGAGCCGCGAACCCAGTCACGCGATAACTTGTTTGTAAGGTCATATGCACAGATTCGATGGGATTCGATACACTGCAGCTTGAGTGCTTCAAGCATCGGGGAGGATTTAGGCCGAAATGTGAGGAAATAGGGGAGCTCACGATCGATCCTGCAACCTAGAGCCAGACCAGCGGTGCAGGAGAACAAGCTTTGACATGCTGTGTGGAAACATCTACAGATGATGCATGCTGCTCCTTCAGTCACTGGCAGTGCACGGGGCAGTCAGGAAGCTCACGCCACGCTGACAGCGATGGCAGCGAGGAAAGCTGCAAGTTCGGGAAGCTTGTGCTGGATGGCTGATGCTGACTGGTACGGTACTGTAGCTACTTTAGAGTATGCTGCTGGTAGCGCAAAGGGAAGCCACGTTTCCGCGTGGGTCATGCTTTTCATGCCACCAGTCGACACAGGATGCAGCTGACGGCCTCCCAGACAACTCGAGGCTCACCGTTTATTTGAAGGAGCCGGCTCGAGTGTTGAGGTTTATTCATTTAATCAGCACAGTCATGAGTCATTCGTGTTTGTGGTCGTCGCGGCGACAGCGAGACATTCTACTACATGTTCGCTGCGTGCATCCGCGTACTTGATGTCCTTCGACTCGCCGCCGTTGTCGGAGTTGTCAGCAGGCCGGTGTGCGAGAGCTGCGAGAACGGTGGTGGCGAGCAACAGCCTTGGGGTCGCATGTCTCATATGCAGTTTTCCAGAAGCGCCTGTTGTCCGGAGCCATATCAGCCAGCCGCGAAACCTTGTCGCTCGGAAAGACAAAGTACACTTTGAGTTGGCTTCAGCATATTGAGCCCAGGATCCTCTGAAAGGCAAGTGCCT